GTCACTGTTCAAGTTTGTTTGTTGTTTTCCTGTTATAATCCAGGTCTTTCTGCTACTTCACAGGAGTGAAGATAGTGAGAGGTACCAAAAAAACGTAAGGTGCTAAAATCTTATTAAATTGATAATATTCATTTCACAGCAAGGAACATTAAACATGACTCTTCCACCTTGAAACAACTAATTATGTGGTTGATACATTGTAAAAGCATTTGTTGCTCACCTAAGAGGTGTATGGGAACAATGTAATTGCATTATTAACACCCTGATACACTTATGTAAGATGATCTACATTCACCTTTGGAAATTACGTATTGTAGGCTCCATCTTATAAACAGGTGAACCACATTAGAAACTGTCGTTTATTTTACACATGAATGCTGTGGCCTAGATTGTCAAAAACTGGTTGTCTAAAGTTAAAGGCACCCGATTTCAGTGGGAGCTGCTGGATCCTCCTCACTATCTGTGGAACTTCATATAGCCCACATTACCTCAGTACCTGAGCACCTCACAATTGTCAATGTATTTCTCATCACAATGCTCCTATGAGGTAGAGTAGTGCTATTACCCCCATTTTATATATGGAGAACTGAGGCAGAGAAAAACTAAGTGACTTGCCCAAGGTCATACAGGAAGGCTGTCACAGAGCAGGTACCTGAACCGAGGTCTCCCAAGTACTAGCTTAGTGCCCTAATGAATGCTCATCCTTCTCATATGAAAATCAAATCACTTATGTAGGTTCCTAAGTAAGAATTTATTATTCTGTCTGTCTATCTATCTTATGGCTTTATGCTACTGCCCGTCACCATAGTATTGGGTTGCTTCCCACGTGAACTTGAAAGCAATCATAAAGTCCCAAATGGATCTGATGAATCTCAGCCCTTTTTTCTTTCTTATTTTCCCCAGGTTAAATCCCGAGGTCCTTGCTTGGGTTATTACTCAGTCCTTACTCAGTCAAGTTTGGAAAATTTACTTTTGCTATGGTACATTTCTTATTTTTTGAAGTTAGGAGAAAGTGGGGGAAGCATAGAAAAACTCCTTAGATTTTATAAATCAATACATCAGCTAGTCTCAGGTCATTAATCTGGGATATAAGGCATATAGGACAATTATGTGTTGCAGTTGCAAAAAGAACATTTCTAGACTCAGACGTCAGGTTTCTAATACTTTATTTGGAAGACATCCTCAATATGACAGCCTGAAACCCCCCCAAATAGGAGTTAGAAAAATAATGGAACCTGCTCTAGTATAATACTGTTCATCTTTTCTGGCATATAAAGAGGGAAGTATTGGTTAGTATAGAGCAAGATAGCCAGGGATGGGAACACCTTAGACTGTGATTTTTCAAAGAGCTTAAGGGAGTTAGACACACAAATACCACTGAAATTCAATGTAGTATGAGTACCTAAATCTCTGAGGTGCTTTTGAAAGTTCCAGCCATAATCACTATTGGCTTATTGAGCCCTTGTTCTGACAAGCCTAATTCTGAATGGATTAAGATGGAGCAAAATAGTTATAAATACCCCCATGTCTGTGTCCAGTGGGTCTGATTCTTCATTATTTTGCAGAGGACAAAATGCTTCTAGGTCAGCATTTTCACACACACTGTTGGTAGCATTTTGCACCCAATTTTGCACAGACTACACAGGTTGTAAAGCAGTGGAGATTCAGGCCCTTTAAGCCTAAAGTGTAGATCTGATACAGTTAGGGGAAATAACTGTACTCAGCAGGCAATATAGGCTATTCAGTTCCTTGATTGGAGATCTACATAACATGGAAAGAAAATTCAAGTATTTCCTTTGCATATTACTTGAAGTAGATTTGCTGCAGAAGTGCTGGAGTCTGTGTATCGTCCCTAATGTGCTGTGCCTATGGACATCACTGCAGGTAGCGTTGCCACAGAGGAAGATAAACAGATATATAAAAGCAAATACACACATCAAAAGTTCTAGAGAAGCTGCTGAACTTAAGAGAAGTTTCATTTTTTGAGATTTAGGTGAATGGAATTTCCCATTTTTGCTTCATCTCTGTTTTCCTTTTATCACTTCCTTTCTACCATTTTGTGCTTTGAAGGGCCTCTTCTGTTACTTATTTATCTGAACAAAGAAGTGGTTCTGATAGACAATAGCAATACGTGTCTGACCATCCCATAGCTCACTGAAGTTATTTTTTTTCTTTTATTTCTTACTGTTGTGAATTCCCTCATTGCAAAGATTTAATGAAAAGGTTGTTATGGGCTAGATTCTGCATTGACATGAATCTCTTGCTACCTCACTGACTACAGCGGAGTTGCACTCAGGGTCAATGAGCCTGGAATATGGCTTATTTTGGTTTTGAGTTCAACAGATTCCATTTCCCAAAAGGAGGGAGGAGCTTGGTATGTTCTGGATTCCACCATAATAATAATAGAAATTAGAGATGAAAGAGACCAGAGGTTAAGAGAGTTTGAGTTGGTCAACCACAGGTCTACTTCCTCTGCTAAAAGCAAAGGGAGAGCTCCCCTCCTTTTCCCATTTTGGAGGAACAGCTCTACTCCCCAGCTCCCTGGCCCATGTGACAGGAAATCCACCTGTTGCTGTTTATCTGCTTGAACCATTAGAAGAGACCTATGAAGTCACCACTATCTTCTATGTAGGACATTGCTGGTTTCCTCCCTAGACTATATTCACCAGTGCTTTGGCTAATCCACCAGTGCTTTGTCTGAATGAAGCAGAGCAAGGACTTGAACGTGGGCCCCCCAAGTGCTCTAATCTAGAGAGAGAGACTGACACTATAGCCTGGTTGTTAGGAAAGTAGTGTTGACATAGTCCTGAGAAGGTAGAAGAAAAAATCATCACTGATAAAGTTTGCAGATGACAGGGGGTCTGGATCGCTTGATTAATCGGGCGCAAGCAAGCAATATGTGTTTTAATGCGACTAAGTATAAATTTACACATCTAGGAACACAGAATGTAGGCCATACTTTCAAGATGGGGGACTCTATCCTGGGAAGCAGTGAGTCTGAAAAAGATTTGGGGTCATGGTGGATAATCTCTGAACTTGAGCTCCATATGTAACGCTGCGGCCAAAAGAGCTAATGCAATTCTGAGATCCATAAACAGGAATCTTCAGTAGGAGTAGAGAAGATATTTTACCTCGGTATTTGGCACTAGTGTGACTCTTGCTGCAATAGTTTGTTCAGTTCTGGTGCTGACAATTCAAGAAGGACGTTCATACATTGTAGAGGGTTCGGAGAAAACCCGTAAGAATGATTAAAGCATTAGAAAACTTGCCTGATAGTGATAAACTCAAAGAGCTCAGTTTATTTGGCATAACAGAGAGAAGATTAAGGGTCACTTGATTACAGTCTGTAAGTATCTACATGGGGAACAAATATTTAATAAAGAACTCTTCAGTCTATCAGAGAAAGGTATAACAGAATCCAATGGCTGGAGGTTGAAGTTAGACAAATCCAGATGGTAAATAAGGTGTACATTTTTTGACAGTGTGGGTAATTAGCCATTGGAACAATTCAGCAAGGGTCGTGGTGGATTCTCCATCACTGACCTTTTTTTAAATCAAGATTGGATATTTTCCTAAAAGATCTGCTGTAGAAATTATTCTGGGGAAGTTCTGTGGCCTGGCCTATGCAGAGTGTCAGACTTGATTATCACTATGGTTCCTTCTGGCCTCGGAATCTGTGAAGGTGAGATTCCAGGGAGCCCAAACACCAAGCCTGAACCTACTAAGCCTTCACTATTTCTCTGAATCGGAAGATTCTATCCCTCTGTTTAACACATATGGGTCTACGGTAGCTTTTAAGCCACAGTCTAACGTAGGGAAGTATGGAGGAGCACTGCCCCAGTTGCAGCCCTCAGAGGCATTGGGCCTGGAGTATTACCAATGCCTCTGAGAATGCAGGGTGTTTCCACACAGCTGTGGTCACAGCAGTCCATTTCTCGAGGTGTAACATGCTCTCCTGATGCTGCCTTCTGTCTACTGGTCAGTAGGGAAGGACATGAAATGATGGCTTCCTCCTGTCCTATTTAGGGAGTCCAGTGCCACCAATAGGCACACCCTTAGTCTTTGTGTGCTTAGAGGCCAGGATCAGTAACATGGCTGGAATCTGAGAAGATGTGCGAAGGAAGGAGGATTCCCTGTAGTCTCTCTCCCAGCTTTGGGTACATGCACAAGACCAACCATACTCCTATCTTAGGGGACTAAGGCTAAAATCCTTATTCAGTTCATAAACAGGCCACACTCCCAGATACTTTTTGCAATGTATTGCCCTTGTGCTCAACTGCAGTTGACAGCCATGGGAGTTGCACACATGAATCAGAGACTGTTTGTCTTCCTAGGCTATGAGAACACCACTTCTTAATAATCACTGTGATATTTTTGCCAAGATGCTAAAAGAGCTAAGTGGGGCAGAGCGCAAACTTTACAAATTTGCTTTCCTCAGACCTTTGTAATGGAGACGGAATCAATGGATACACCTCATCTCTGACACCACTGAACACAGCACTGCTAGCTGGGCGGTGATGTACTTTTGTCCCCATTATCATCAGGAAGGCACATCTGTTAGCGGCACTGCCAAAGCTTGATTTGTGGAACCATCAGAACCTGTTTTTCTGTCATTAGCCCAATGTTTATGATCCAGTACGCATCTCACTGTCAAGATCGCAGATGTTTCTGCTTATTGAATAGCTATTTGTTTCCCATCAGTTCCATTTCCTATTGTATTAAGACAGGGAAGGAACCAGAAGATTGTGTTGCTTATTAAGTGTTTATAATAGAATGCCTCTGACTTTCTTGTAGTCCTTGCAGCATTTATCTTGGGCCCCATCGCATGAGTTAATTTGTAACATAATGCTGCAGGCACCTAAAAGAAACTCTATAGCCCAAAGTCAGAGTTAAAAGAATTAGCGATACTTTGCTAGCTTGCCAAGTATTATTAAATAAGTATTGCTTGGAAGGCTATGTTAATTTTAAAGTTCTTTTTCTGTGCTAATGTTTTTACTTAGGGAACGGGCACAGAACACAACACAGTCTGAGACACTTCAGCTTACAGTGGGAAATCTGAAACCAGAGGAGACTTACACATTCCGAGTGGTGGCATATAATGAATGGGGACCAGGAGAGAGCTCGCAATCCATCAAGGTTGTCACGCAGCCTGAATGTAAGTATGCAGTGTAACGGTGTTTCCATGTTAGATATGGTTAGTAATGATCTACTTCTGCAGCAGCTCTGCATTTCTCATGCTGAATTTCTTTAAGGTTTACAAATAATTCTTCATTATAAATATTAGTAATAGAGTCCATATGGTTGGTCAAAATAATCTTCCCTCTATTTTCATTGTAATATAATATATGTTCTTACAATGTATTTTCAGAAATTTGATCTGATCAGTGAATTGTTTATTAGATTTGAACAGTACATTGTTAGTTGGTGTATTGACTTTGTATTGTCTCTCTCTCTCTCTCTCTCTCTCTCTCTCTCACACACACACACACACACACACACACACACACACACACACACAGTATTTCTCACACTTTACATACTGGGCCAAATATTAGTTCCCTTGAAGGGCATGGAAAAATGTCCAGTTGCTAGATGCTTAATCTATTTGTGGTTAATTGGAAATATTTTAATTAGTGTTCAGTATATTTTGGAGCTTCTTTGCAGACCCTTTGCACTTTGTTCTCTGGTTTCTCCAGCTGTAAATACTTGCACACATGTTTCATCCTCAAAAGGAAGATAAACTTTCTGTAGTTCAGAGTATTCTACAATATGTCAAGGTTGCCACTTGTCCCACTTAGCCAGTCAGTTTCCCAGAGAAAGGGACCCAGGCTGGACCAATTTTTGACTTTTCACAGAACCACCAATTGGTCAGTCAACTTTCTTGTCAGAAGGGGAATCTCCTTTAGTTTGTAACACATTTTGCCTCAGTGGAAAGGGTTAAATGGGTTTTCCTGATTCACTGTTGCAAGTGACTTGTTGCCCCTCTAAGTGAAGGAGATGGGAGTGGCTCTCTTTGGTGAGGGGAAATAGGCTGAGGTCCTGGAGACAAGTCCCTTGAGATGTCAAGATTCTCGAGAAGGCTTAGCTGGATTTTATACTGTTTAATTTTGAGTTCCTTTTGTGAATAAAATCAAATCCAGGAAAGGGCTACCTTCAGCCCAACTACAACGTGTGTGGAATGTCTTTGGAATGGATTGGTGAAACCACATGTACACACTGGGTGTGTTAATTAGGAGAGAAAACCAAGATACTCTCATTTGTGATCATTACAAACAAACAAACAAATAAACAAACCCACCACAGCAGAAATAAGGATGTTAGTACAGGACCAATGCCAACTTGGGAAATTACATTCAGCTTCCCTAAAGTTCTCCTGTACTGCAGATTTGTTTGGGCAAAGTATTCTACATTTCCTGCCATGAAACTCTTTTGCAGTGCTGTTTTGTCTTGTTATTTGACTGCTGTGGTCCACCAGAGGTGGCTACATTTCAGCCCTGAGTGAGGAGAAATCAGGTTGAAAATCACTTTATAAATATGAAAAGCATTTTGAGATCCTTTGATGCAAGGTGCTATTTAAATGTTAGCTATTATCATGTTATTTACTCCTTCACATAACACAAGAAGTAGGGGTCATGCAATGAAATTAATAGGCATCGGGTTTAAAACAAACACTTCTTAACACAATGCACAGTTAACCTGTGGAACTCTTTGCCAGGGGATGTTGTGAAGGCCAAGACTATAACAGGTTGAAAAAATATCTACATCAGTTCATGGAGGATAGTTCCATTAATGGCTATTAGCCAAGATGGGCAGGGATGCAATACCATGCTCTGAGTATCCTTAACTTCAGTTTTCCAGAAGCCAGGAGTGGACGACAGGGGATGGATCACTTGATGATTGCCTGTTCTGTTCATTCCCTGTGAAGCACATGGCATTGGCCACTGTCAGAAGACAGGATACTGGGCTAGATGGACCATTGGTCTGACTCAATATGGCCATTTCTGTGTTCCTTTTAACCATTAATATAGATATATTGCAATTAAAAAAATTACATTAATGTCTCTATCAAGAAAGCACTTTTATAAGAGATCCTTGCATAAACATGCACCAGCACTCCCTAGTGTTGCTTTTAGTGTATATGACGCTCAAACGACATAGGGACTCCTACACTATTTAATACAATTTCTCTTCTGTTCAGTAACTTGAAGGTTGGTCCAAAGTATCAAAATTTGATGGTGAAGAAAGTATCTTTTCCCATCGTTATTTTTCCCCCCTTGACAAAATGATCTTATCATTTTGAAACAACTCTCTTCTGTGCTGGAATTCAGTCAGTCTCTATGTTGCTGTCTCCTGGAACATGATGTAGCTATTGTACAATAAATTATACAGCTGCACTACAAATTGAATTCCAAGATATCTGTGTTATTTGAAAATATCAGAAGTATTATGCAATCTAGCTTTGTTAAGAAATAAAAACCAATGAAAAAGGACATCTGAAATGCATGTCTGTCAATGACTATTTCTAAAAGTGCAGACATTTTCTCAGTAATCAGTTTAAGAGATCAACAAGCACAAGTTCCAGCTTTTGAAATAATCATCCAAAATATATGGGATGGATTTATATGAAGGTCTTTGTCTCCAGATTAAATCTTCCTTTCGACTAAACTCCAACCCCTTTTCCTCTGCTTTTTATGGTGTATAATTTCACCACTGTATTATCAGTCAGGATTTAAATCCCTGCCTGCTTAAGACTTGTCTAATCTTTTCATACCACATGTGGAGACTTTGTGAGTTATTATTTTGACTCTTCAAGATGCTGTTAGAGCAGCTGAGTAGCAGAGAGTACGGAAATTGGTCTAGTTCTAGCTTGGAGGGTTGAGCTTTTCTATATGCTTTTTGAAGGTAGCCTCCCTGCTGGGGCACCAACTCCATTATCTTCACCACCTTTAGCTATTAAGACTTGCCTTTTAATAACCTTGTTTCTCTGTGATGTGTGTATTGGAGTAGGTTGGTGAAAGAAAAGATTAATAGGGAGACGTGTCAATATACACTTAAATAATTTGATTGATTTACTGCTTAGCTGTCGTGTAATTTGCAGCCTGTAAACATTGCCTTTGATCATCTGCAGTCTAATGGAATCCTTTTACTTTGCAATTATATTTAACCTTCCATCCACGAGTCTTAAAGGGCTTGATAAAGATTAATTAATTAAGCCTTACTACATCCCTCTGAGGTAGGGAAATATTATTATACCTGCTTAACTGCAGCACAGAGGCCCATCTGTGTATCCATATGTCCACCCCGCCACTGCATGGTGCAGAATGGAGCAAATCCACCAAAAAGCCAGTGATCCCACGCAGGGAGGAAAAGTGGCTAAGTGGATGCCCCCCTCCATGGAGCCTAGTCACTTTGCCCCCTCCACAAAATAGCCACATACTCTGTTGACAATGGAAAAGTGGGTGAGCTGAAGGGTTGGGAGGAGGGGCTGCATTACACGGCATTCTCCTCCTCCAGAAACCAAACCAACCACAAGCTGAAGAGTTACTGCTGCTTGAGATGGGATTAACTCTCCGCTCCACACCCTGGGCCAATCCAGCCTCTCCGCACCCATGGAAGTCCCTCTAGCAGCCAAATCAGTGTAGTGTGGTTGCTATGAGCACTGCTGCTAGAAGTCAGAGGGCCCGACATCTATAAAATTAAGTAAGATGAGCGTATCATTTCAGAGAGGCATGGTTAACTAGACCTGACTTTGCAGATCAACTATGTATTATTGAAAAAAGTGTACTACTGCCTCATGCTGCTGCTTCAGATCCTTCTTCCCATCTTAAAGAAATGCAATTGTGTGAAGTGAGAAATGAAAGAGTGAAATACTGGTCATGATCAGTAATTTTCAACATATGTTGGGGAATGATAAAGATCAACAGACTAAAGGTTGAGCAGAAGATTGCTATTATCTCAGTACATATCTATTGTGATTGGAAATGAGATAAGTGCAATCAAGGGAAGTGGCTATGTGGTCTTTGTCAGCAGGACTGGAGATCAGTTTTTCAGGGAAGATGAATGACTGTAGGTAATCCGTTCTCCTTAACATAATCATATGAATCTCTACATCCATGAGTCTGGGTCTTAAGGGGTCTCAGCGGTGTAACCGTTTTTCTGTGGCAGTTTATTGTGATCCTAGTTATGACAGAGCTGAAAGGCAGGGCATTTCCATTATCTGAGAGGTCACCTAGTACTGGAAGAGAGTGCTACAGGGCTGACTGTAATATATTGTAACAGTAAATTTCTCACTATTCAAGGCAGACTTGAGAAAGGAGAAAGATAATGTAATCTGGAGGAAGGACTGGCATTTGTTTAATATATTTTCCATGAGCAATCACAGGATTAAGGAGCTTTACTGGTTCTGTTGGTTGTGGACCTGATCCTCCGAGGTGCTGAATGTCTTCTGCAAGGTGCAGGGCACCTTCTTTTCTCCACAAGGGCAAGGGGAGTTGAAAGTCCTCAATGCTTTCAGGATCAGGCCCATTGAGTAAAAAACAGGAGGCCAGATCCTTCTCATATTGAAGTTGGTGACTTCAGTGGGAGAAGGATCGAACCCTGAATAAAAGCCTCAGCTTTGGCCTCATGATAAAAACCATTCTTCCCTAATAAATCAAGAGGAAACTAATAAACAGGAGGAGCTAATCCACTGTGTTATAATCCATCATCCAGATCTGCATTTTCAGTATCAAAGATGAACTATCACTATATTTATGATGGCTAAAAAAAATCATTATGGAAAGAGTTGCAGTAATTTGTTTTAACACTTACAGAATCTGCTCCACACTAGCCATGAGCAAATTCCCATTAATTTAAAAAAAATGTATTGTGGAGTAATGGAAGCAGATAAAAACAGGCTTGAAATGTTTGATTCTATGTTCTGGCCTTCTTCTATGATAAAAATAATCAAATGAATAACAGTGCTGTGACAGGACATACTGTGATTATCAAGGTAGTGATATTCAGTTCTAAATCTCTTTTTATCTCCATGTTAGAAACAGTAAGTGTGGGGTAGCTACTTTCAGGTTTTTCCTGGAGGCCAAAGAAAAGCCAGCTTTTCGTTTAAGTGGGTATTTAATCTGTTGTTTGATTTTCCTCAGGGAAACATCCACCTGT